CAGGGCCGGATTTACCTACAAGCTAAATAAGCATTGCTTACGGCCCTCGAAAAAATACGGCCCGTAAAATGTCCGGTATATGAAAATAAAAAATATATTATATGACTAGATGACCCGGCAAACGTTGTTCTGCCATATGAATTATCAAATAAATCAAACCTAAATATAAATCATTATCTTATATCTAACAAATAAACGAATAAAATTCATTAAAATCGGTCGATCCGTTTCAGATAAATACGGGAAGCCCCGCAGAAAATGAAACTCAGTACCATCAGCTGTGGGCCGTCGATAACTCGTTAAAAATAGGAATAACTAATAAGTAATAACTATATTCGGACTTTCTTATCTGTACACCGTACAATATTATTATAACATGTTACATGATTTATATACTTGTGATCAGAACGATTGTTTGACGATGGCGAGAATCACAGTTATAAATATTTATAGTGAATGATAAACTGTATAGAGTATTATGGTCTGTACGTATATTTGTATAACAGTTGTGTTTTTTTGAAATACCGAGAACAATGTCAAAACCGAAAGGTGGTTGGGAAAAGTTAAAAGAAACTGAAAAGAAAAAAAAGAATGAATCAGACTTTCTAAAAAAAGTAAGCCCTTTTACAACGTAGTATTTTATACCTAAACATACTAATAGTGAAAATACCAATAATAAAGAAGATAATATTATAAATCCTAGTACATCGGACTCACTTAATGTCCCAAGTTTACCTAATTCGATCACTGGTGCTTCTTCTAAAAGTATTGAGTACTCTAATGATCCCGGAGATTGGAATTTAACATCCCATACTTTAATATCTTACTTAATAGAAAAAGGGTTAAAATTCTTTCAAAATATAAATGCTGACTTTTCCTTAACAAAAAAATATTATGAAAATCCTAAAGTAAATCGTTGTTTGAACAAAACTGCTTTTTTCTATACAAAGCCTAATGGTGATTATTGTATTAGAGAATGGTTACTTTATTCACCAACTAAAAAAATGATATATTGTTATTATTGTATTCTTTTTTCTAAAAATGGCATTATGTGTGATGGGTATGATGNTTTTTCTAAAAATGGCATTATGTTTGATGGGTATGATAATTGGCGAAATGTTCAAAAATTTCTTGAAAATCATGCGAAAAAAGGAAATCATGTTTTGGCAATTAGTATGTACCTAAATAGAACGAAACTATCAGATAGAATAGATAGTGAATTTGAAAAACAGTTAACTGAAACACGTGACTATTGGAAAAACGTATTAAGGCGCATAATTGAAACAATATTATTTTTATCGAGACGTGGTTTACCATTTCGAGGTTCAAACGAACACTTCGGGTCAAATCGTAATGGAAATTATCTTGGAATATTGGAGCTTCTTTCAAAATTTGACCCATTTTTAGCCCAACATATTGCAGTACACAGAAATCGAGGGAAAGGACACACATCTTATTTGTCCAAAACTATTTGTAACGAATTTATTGCACTTATTGCAAAAAAAACTCGTACAATGATTATAGATCAATTGAAAAAAGCCGGTTATTTTTCAATAAGCGTTGATTCTACTCCTGATATTACCCATATGGATCAATTAACTGTTATTTTGAGATACGTAAATAATGATGGACCAGTAGAACGTTTCATTACTTTTATTCATATTACAAGTCATACTGGTGCAAATCTTGCTTTGTGTTTACTTAACTTTTTGAAAGAAAATTATATTGACATAGAAAACTGTCGTGGGCAGAGCTATGACAACGCTAGCAACATGAGCGAGACTTATACTGGTATGCAAGCAGAAATAAAAAAGTGCAATTCATTTATTGATTATATTCCGTGTATTGCACTTTCGCTGAATCTCGTTGGACAATTTGCTGTAGATTGTTGTATTGAAGCAGTTTCATTTTTCGGTTTTGTCCAAGAAGTTTACAATTTTTTTCCGCCTCTACCCAACGCTGGGATATTTTAAAAAAAACTTTAGTAAAAAATTGTCCACTTCCTAAATCCAAATCAGTTACTAGATGGAGTGCAAATGCTGAGGCTGTTAAAGCGTTATTTATAAGTTACGAAAATATTAATGAAGCGTTAAAAAAAAATTCAAAATGATACATTTCAAAAACAATCAACTCGACAACAAGCTTCTTGTTTAAGCTCNTTACTAGATGGAGTGCAAATGCTGAGGCTGTTAAAGCGTTATTTATAAGTTACGAAAATATTAATGAAGCGTTAAAAAAAATTCAAAATGATACATTTCAAAAACAATCAACTCGACACCAAGCTTCTTGTTTAAGCTTAGTATTCGGTTATTTAGAAACTGCCATTATGTGTGAATTATGGCATAATATTCTCGAACCATTTAATAAGTGTAGTAAAAGTATTCAAAGTGGTGTAATTGATTTATACACTGCAATTAATTTAATTGAAAGTCTTAAAATTGTCCTTCAAAATATAAGAAACCAATATGATGAATATGAAAGTATTGGCATGAAAAGGGCTAAAAATAAAGATTATAAATTAACTACGCATAGAAAAAAATTTAAAAGAAACGAGAGTAGTTTTAATGAACTAAATGCAAAAGAATCGTTTAAAATAAATACTTTTTATTTAATAATTGATCAACTTTATAGTGCTTTAGTACATAGAATTAACGCTTATACTAACGTAAGGGATAATTTTAAGTTATTAGCAGACATTTCAATGGACATAAAATGGAAGACATAGAAGAAGGAATGGATAAGTTATTAAAAAGGTATTCAAAAGATTTCCCTGATGATTTTAAAAATGAGTTTCAACAGTTTCTAAGTTTTTCGTCAACGTCTTTATCATTAATTACAACGAACGAAAATAAGAAGAAGAATATTTTGCTTAACATGTATAAGATGATAGTTGATTTAAATGTGACTGAGAGTTTTCCAAATGTTGAACGGTTATTACGTTTATATCTTTCTCTTATGTGTACCAACTGTACAGGTGAAAGATCATTTAGCCAATTAAAATTATTAAAAAACGTTTTAAGATCTTCACTATCACAAAATAACCTACAAAATCTTGGAATTTTAAGTATTGAAAGTGAATTTGTAAAATCTCTAGACTTTGAAGATGTGATCAAAAATTTTGCAAATGAAAAAGCTAGAAAAAAAGAATTATGTTTTGATGAAGGGGATAAAGAATTAGATAGTTGCGACGATGACAGTGACTAATTTTATAATAATTTATGTATTTACTTATAATTTAAAAATTTGCTTATAAAGTAAAAATTTTCAATTTAACATGGTTTTGTATTAAATCTTATTTATAAAATAAGATTTACAAAATAAAATAAAAAAACAAAATAAACATTTTGTTGTTTGTAGTAATCACTTCCCCCTAAATTTATAGAAAGACTATATATAACAGAAAACAATATTCATATATTTTACTCATGTTGCTTATATTTATAAGGTAATAATTAGGCCCATCTAAATCATCTGCTTACGGCCCCCAAAGTACTTAATCCGGCTCTGTGTGTACTACTACTAAACTATAATATTACAATTTTTTTGGTAACATGTTGCTATATAAATAATTTCTAAAAAAAATGATTGTTAGTTTCTCCTAAATTAATAATGGATTTTTACAATTATAATTAAATTTTATTTTACGTTCAATTGAGTAAATCTTTCTTTTTAACCACTTTTTTAGCTTCGATGCGAAACTGAGAAGGTACTAACTTTGTTTTCATTGGTTCATTTAGTTAAAGTCAATCATTAAAATTAATTAAGTTCTGAATATTTCAATTGCAGAATCTTTTCATACAACAAATATTACTAGGAAATTATTACTATTTAAGTTATCTATTACGATAAAAATGCAAAAAAATATTGAGCTTTTCTGATAAATTTACAATAAATAGTAATTATAAAATTTCTGACTGCATATTAATCTTTACGATACAATTTTTTTAATACTGATAAAATTTTCTATTTAATGATGTCAATTTCAAATTTGCCAATTGAGCTAAAAGTTATGGTAAAATAAATTATTTTTTTTTGTTATAAACATTTACACAAATCAACTTTAAACGATAAAAAAATAGGTTAAACATGCAATTTTCCTTATTTATAACATATTAATAATCATAATCAGTATTTATTTAAAACAATTTTTTTTTGTTTTAATTATTTTTTTTCATATGTAAATACTATTTTTTAATAATATTTAAACTTAGAAGTGATAGAAAAAGTCTAATTGCACATTTGAAAACATCATGAAAAGTTGATTTAGAATGATAGATTTTTGTTTCTGAAGAAAATTCCTTGTAGTCCAGTGTATAAAACTTATAACTTTGTTAACTGTTATAACTTTATCAAAAATGACCATATCAGTATAATTTTTTTTTATTTAGATGCATGTCTTTACCCGTCAATCATTTGGTTTTTTTTTATAAATCTAGCCCTTTACATGCCAACAAGAAGTTTTCAAAATGATAAATTTTTTTTTTTAGTTAAAGTAAATCATTAAAATTAATTCAGTTCTGGATATTTCAATTGTAGAATCTATTTAAATATTAAAAATTACTTAGAAATGATTACAATGATTTCTATTTAGGTGTTCTATTACGATAAAAATGCAAAAAAATAATGAGTTTTTCTGATAAATATACTGTAAATAGTAATTATAAAATTTCCTGACTGCATATGAGTCTTAAAAATAGCATAGTTTTAATTCTCATACAATTTTCTATTTAATGATGTCAATTTCAAACTTGTAATTGAGCTGAAAGTGATTGTAACATATTCAATTTTTTTTCTATAAACTTTCACAAATCTTTATCAAAAATTTTTCATCAACTTTAAAGAACCAAAAAAATAGGTTAAAAATGAAAATTTGGACTGATTATTTTTAACATATTAAAAATTAAATAAGTAATAATTTTTTCTGTTCTCAAAAATGTTCTACCGTTTTTTTAATATTAATTTTTACCATCAATTTAAATTATTCATTTACTACTATTTTCAATTATCTTCTTTTTGGTTTATTTCAAGAAGTAAAATTATTTTTAGTTTTTCAAAATAGTTATATTTTAGGTAAAAATATACGTGGAATCAGCACAATCGAATATTTTTGAAAAACATAAAAAAATGTTTATCCACTAGTTGAAATTTTACTGAGCTGGTTTATCTAAACAATGAGTTCAACAGTATGTTTTAATTAAAGAATAATGAACTTAAATACTACCATACTTAAATTAAGTGTATTTGAATAATGTCTCACAATATTTTTAAAAAAATTAGAAATATGACTCTTTAAAAGAAATAATTTTTGTTTTTACAGAAGGACTTTCCTTTAAAATAATTTTAGTTGATTGCTAGAGAGAAAATAGAAATGACTCATGCAGGTAACCATATTTTAATCCCACAAAATACTATATAATTAGTATCCTAATGAAAATTTTTAATGCATCTATTAATTTTATGAGATTCCTGTGTTCCTAGGCAGTTAAAGAGGTGTTTAAGGGGTTTCAACACTTTTGAACAATTAGCAGTTTTCTACTATAATTATTAATACATTATTAATCATATAAATCATGTAGAAACTTATTGTTTTGCTCGACTTCTTCACGTCTAATTATAAATAATCGTTCCACGATTATTATATGTTTTATATGATATGATATTATTATATGATATATGTTTTCCTCAATTCAGCATTTTATTAGTTTTTAAACAGTTCTATGTCATTAACACTAATGTTTATTATAATATCTATACTATATTTGTATGTTGCCCACTATCTATATATTGTAAACAAGACGGCCGAATAATTTTAGATCCAAACGTAATCACGTGTAATATCATTGAAATTATATATCTCAATTACAAAGCCATTCGTCCAGTTTTTCTTTTCTATACTTGTCAATCTCTTAACTAATCTTAAGTATAAATATCATGTCTAGTATGTAAATTTAATAAAATCAAAAATATAAATTATTACTACAAGTAATCTAGAGTAAATATTGTGTTCACATTGTAAAATATGAGTCTGTAACAAAAATCAAAACGTAAAAATATGTATTCTATGAAATATTATCATAATAATTTAGAATTAAATTTAATCTAAACAAATATTATAACCATGTGACCTGATTCAAAAAGTAATATAAAATACATTTTTATATGCATTACAATTTTATTAGAGTATTAATAATATAATATAAATAATATATATAAATGGTAATTATGGATATTTTAATAATGTTTATATTTTTAATTACATCAATTATCACTAACTCTTGTACACTCTTTTGTAACGAAAATACAGAGAAGATTAAGAAACTAAATAAAATTTTTGGTCATACAAATTGGATTGAGTTAACAGAAGACTAGTTATTGTTATAATAAAAAGAATAATAATATCGATGAAATAATTAGTTCATACCGTCTATTTAGACCCAATAATGACGTATCGTCATATAATAATGATATAATTAAACACCTGAATAATTTTAATAGAGCTACTATTACTTTCAATCCATTGATAACTTGTATGATAAAAGCACTAAAATTTTTCAATCACTCAACGCCCGTTCTTACAGCTTTAAAAAAATTAATAGAGTGGCAATCAAAAATTTAAAATATTGAAGAAATAGTTGACATTAATACTGCTAAAAATAAAATTACTAAACTTTTTGACTTCAATATTTTTGACAAAAATTTCAAAAATTTTAGAAAAAATGTTAAAATTATTAAAAATAAAGAAGAACACTTTGAATTATACGACTGTTTCGACCTACACAACAAACATTTAAAAGAGAATATTTCAAACGGTGTACAGAAATTTTGTATAGATTTAGGCTTTGATGTTAAATAATAAATGGCATAATTTTACTCCAATAATGTACGTATTTATTATCTTATCCATGAAATTGTCTTGATTACTGTCATACTATATTTTTCATAATACTGGATTATTTTAAGATTTAATTAGCAA